TATACAGATGTTATGACATTTTCTTTAAGGGATTGCAACATCTTTGGACTTTAGTATCCTCAAGGTATTGTAACTTATTCTCCCAGGATACTCCCAGGGACAACTGTACATAGGAAACTATTATTTATTCTTAACTGTTGGGATTCAAGGGCAGAACCCCATATCCTAAGGTAGAATTTGTAAATGACTCAAAGCTCACCTCTTAAGCAGGGAAGCTAGAGAGAAATGTCAATTCCTCATGAGAAAACAAGTATGTGAGGGTATGTGAAGTTCCTGCAATTGGACTGCATCCTCAAAGACACTTCCTACAGCTTATAAAAGGCCCAAATGGCGGGCGATCCTTTACTTAAGGTTAAAGTGAAGAAAATAGACAACTGGATAATTAGCATTTTTGCCAGTCTTCCATTTTGATAAATGCTAAATTTTGTGGCCTTCTAAGGGATATGACTTAAGAGTGAAGATCCTGTTTTCACCAGTGAGGGAAATACTAGATAGGCCATGGTTTTCTAATTCTCACATGGCTTTCTGATGGGGAATTGAGTGACTAGTCTGAGCAAGGTGCTCTGTCCTCTGTACACCCTTTGATCAGGGATTCTAGCAAGCTCCACTTGGATTCTTTGGCCAGTATGCTTGGAGCCATGTCTTCTGGGATTCATTATATAGTTTTGACACGGGTTTGGTCCATGGTTTTCCCAAATCCCATCAGTGGGTGATTGGCTCTGCAGCCCACACAGGACACTGTACAAAAATTGATGGTGAAAGTTGCTTTTGGGTTTTGGTGGCTTCATTATTTCCAGATTGATGACTTTAATAATGAAATTTGCATTAGTACCTTAATGAACTTTATACTTTTTATCATGACCTGGCCATATTTGGGAAAATTTAGAGTCATAATATTATCCTTGGGTCAGCACCAGGAGTGTGCACAGCTGTGCAGAGACACGGAAGGAAATTAAGCCAGGACTATGTGAAGGCATAAATACAAGTTTTATACTCAGGAGGTGATATCAAAATAACAACTCATGCTTATGTATTTATGGCAAAAGTGGATCACTTTAGTATACGGTTCCCTCTGGAGTGCCCCTAAATGCACACTTGTCCTCACTGGACCTTACTACTTCTGCTAACTATGGTTCAAAGTCACAAGGCACATGGATTGCAAAAGGACATGGACAAGTGGGCTGTAGCCCTTGACCAAGTTTATTTACAACTCTCCTCTTCTTTCTTTCCCAGAAGTAGGTGTCTGCATCAGATGCTTACTGAAAGGCAAGCAAGGTAGTAAAGCAAGAGGACCTCTGTTGACTAGTATACCCTCACCATCAGGTGATGATTCTTATCTTTTAGTTGTTTTGATTTTTAATTTTCTAGTTGACTAGTATACCCTCACCATCAGGTGATGATTCCTATCTTTTAGTTGTTTTGATTTTTAATTTTCTATAGCTTGATGGTGCACATCCTGATACATACATATACATTTGTTCCATTAATTCCTTGAACTATGTTCCTTCATTTGGAGCCAGTAGGTCAAATCTTTGTGTAACCTTTCTGTTCAGGTGGTGCTGGGGGTAGAACCCAGGGCCTTGTGCATGCTAAATGCACTCTGTACTCCCAAGTTGTACACACAGCCCCTTGTGGAAACCTTTAACATTGCTGATGATTTTTGCTAGAACGGATGTAGCAGTTTAAATTCCCATTAACACAATCTTGCTAGTATTCATATCTGTTTCAAATTCATTTTAATTATGCAATTTTAATATATATCTGATTCTCCATAGCATGTGGGTTATGAATAATTATTGTGACTATATAATTTATTATTCAAGGATCTTTGTCACACCTTTGGGAATGGCATCAGATGCTATTAGAGTTGCACTAAGATTATGAATGTGAATCAGGGTTTATCTGGGAAACATTAAGTATATGATCTTCTTATTAATGAAACATAGTAATAAAAATCCTCACACCTCTGCCTGGCAATTAAAGCACTCAGGCACTACTCTTGCACCCTACTCTACTTGCTTTCTGTCTCCTCTGTCTGCCTTGGTCTGAAAGATAACCCTGTCCCAAATTCTTGTGTTTATCATCCCCAGGATTGAAAAAATACCACTCAGTGGAAACTATCAATGTGTGCTTGAATCATTATAGTTTAGCTTTCTTGTTTCTCTGCTTCATGAAAATAGCATCATTCCATTTACATCTTTTGCAATTTGATTTTTTATACAATAGCCTGTTGATAAGATTTATTCAAGTTGCTCTATGTTACTCTCATTCATTTATTTTATAGCTGTATACTACTCTACTGTAAGAGCTTATCATAAACATTTTATCTATTCTCCCATTGATAGAGTTTGTCATTCTTTCAAGGCATTCTTTGCTATGATAGATCCTGCTCTTATCAGGGCCCTTTCCAGTATCTTTGAACACACATGTGCAACAAATGCCCTGAATGTGTTTCCAGAGGGAAGTGACTGTTGGGTCAGAGGAAAGAGCAGTTTTAAACTTTGTAGAGGATAGGAATTGTTGTCAAAGATGTCAGAGCACAGTTCTTCTTCTTCTCACTTCAGTTTAGCACCATGAATGATTTTTATTGCTGCTAGTTACAAAAAGTAAAGTGATCTCTCATTATGGTCTTGATTTTTATTTCTCTGATTACTAATGAGGCTTCCCTGACACTAGAAATCAGTTGAGAAGTGGACTGTTGTAATGGTTGAAACACTGTATCAATTTGACAAGTCTAGAAGCTTAACTAAGTAACTCAGCAGTTCTACATCCTGGGATGTAGAGAACATATCTTTACCACTCTAGGATGTTGTTCATTGTGTCAACGTGAGCAGTTTAGAAGTTTAACTGACCAGCAAGAGGCCAAGTTCCTCACTTTGTAAACATCCTGAGCTTGTGCAAGAGGAGGGCATGGAAATGGTGTGAGTACTACACCTGCCCAAGGGTGGGTAACCTGCATACAGCATAAGGGAGGCAAAGAGGCTTCCTCTTCCCCCTTTGTGCTCTTGTTGCTTTTGCTGTCTTCCACCTTGAATGGTTGCCCCTGTGCCATGCCACCCTGCCTCGGAGCCAGCTGATTATGCACTGAAACCTCCACAAATTGTGAGCTAAGTAAACCTTTCCTTCCTTAATTCTGGGCATTGGATATTTTGTCTCATTAACAAGAGAAAAGTAACCAAGACAACGTCTTTATAAAAAAGTGTTGAGATTTCCTCCCCATAGTGACACTTTTTATATACTTAGGTTTTAATGCTATGCACTATTTTCACCATATAACTCTTGAGCAGTACTTTTTAGTTGGTTATAGCTAAGATAAATGCATATATAATGTATATGTATTATATATATATATTTGGCAGGGGTATCATTACTGTTATTACTTTTTATTTAGTTGATAAATAAAAATTGTGTATATTTATCAGGTACAACACATTCTTTTGAAATATGTATACATTGTGCCATGATGGTTGTATAATTTTAATTTCTTAAAAAATGATTTTTGTTTGTTACTAGTACCTAGAAATTCAGTTGATTTAAAATATCAACTCTGTATGCAGACATATTATTATTTTTAATGTGTAGTCTTTCAGTCTTAGGGAATTTCTGTGTAGATAAATGTATCCACTGAGAACCTAGTTTTTTTCTTCTTTTTCTCTTCCTTCCCAATTCTCTATGTATTCCTTTTTAAAAAAGAAAATATGTGCACTAACTAGAACTCTAGATAACATTGAATAAAAACAATGATACAAAACATTTTGCCTCATTCCTAATTTTAAAGAAACTGCATTAATGTGATTCATGATAGTAATGATTTTTGGCGTTACTTTTCGGTAGAGGCTTTTTTTATCAGTGTCAAGAAGTTCTGGTGTATTGCAAATTTATTAGGAGTTTTTGCTCCGGTGTGGATGGCTCAGGCTGTCAGCAGAGGGCCTAGGCTGCAAGCCCTGCCCCAGGCTGTGCTGAGTGGGCCTGGGAGCATCGCACACCTTCTGTGGTTTTCTTTCTCCCTTTGAACTAGCTTGTAAACTTACAATTAGGGTCAAATAAGTGTCACATCCTAGGAGAGCACCAGGCACGGCAGACAGGGCCTGCGAGTTGGTGGCCACCATTAGGGAACTGAGCAGGTAGCCCCCGACTAAAGGAGTTCAGTTTCTTGCTGCTCACCCAAGGGTCAAGACTTGCCATTAAGTTGATTTACACTTTAAAAAGTGACATTTCTTGCACACCCAATGTGGACCCCAGTAGCTGGCCAAGCCTAGGTTGAGGACTGCAGCTCTCCAGAGGGGGCAACCGAACCTGTGGCTGTGAACTTTGGCCGGAGAGGAGTCACAGCTCTGCTTTCTGCCCTGGAACTGAAATGCAGTTTCCTTGACAGCGCACAGGTCGTGGCCCCAGACCGCAGTGACCCTCCCACACCCACAAGGGCCCCCTGATATTTCCCTCCACACCCCAGCCCTTCCGGGCACCTTGAAAAGTCATTTCCCTGTGTTGCCACACCCTCAGGGTGATGGCTACCTCATCTGCCACTGGATCCTGATGCTTATAGTATGGACAAAGAAGACAAATCTTGCATATCACAAGTTTGCTTTCTAAAAACTTTTTAATACCCTTCCTTTTAGCAAAATAGCTATCTCTTTGCTTCCTATTATCTATCCTTTATTTTGCTCTTTAATGTATTTATACATTGGGTTATTCATATAAGAGAAACCATGATATTTAAGCTTGTGTGTCTGATTCAGGGAAGAGGATGAAGAAAAAATAAAGATGTGTTCTATGCCTGCACTAACTCGCCACAAGGAATGTGATCAGTATGTACTGCACACATACATATTAAAAAAAATATTTTGGTGACAGTTTCAATATTTCTGATCTGTAACTCCCCAATTTTTTTAGTTTGAGTATTTGAAACTGTATCTCTGAGAAGAAAGCAAAGGTCTCTCACACTTGGAGGGGTCCATGTCACAAAGGTAGTGACAATGCTACCTGGTGGGCCAGGAACTTCCTGGCCCTGCCCCCAAAGCAGTGGAATGCAGTAAGGGCTGACTCCAAGGCAGCCTGGTCTGCCTCCAGCCTCCCCTGAGACTTACCGCATAGGACCTTGGGCATAAAAGCACAGCCCACCAGGTGGGGTGCCCACGTCCCATGAGGAAGGCTGCAGGTCACAACCAGGACCCATGCCTGCCCCTGCAGAGACTCTCAGCTCCCGTGCTCCCTCCCACCACCTGGCAGAGCTCACACAACAGGGCTGGCCTCAACCCGTCTTCAGAGAGGCCCGGAGGAACCGAGTGGCAGTGGTGGCTTCCTTCCTCATCAGTCACGGGGATCACAGCTCCCGTCCCTGAGCTGAGCCTGGGTCACACAGCTTACTGCGCCTGCTGAAGGAGCCAGGAGCACAGTGCCAGCCAGCATGAGCCCAGGAGTCCGTGTGCTGAGAGCCCTGCTCTTCCTCCTGGGTAAGTGGCCATTGTGGAAACAGGTGACCTCACCCTCCTCTGGTCTGAGGCTATGTCCCTTTGCTGCAGTGGGTTTTCTGACTTTGACCTGGCAGTGAACCAAGCTCTTGTTTGTTCCATTTTAACTGCAACTTATCAATGGTCCTGGACCAGGGAAGAACAGAAAGTTCCTGGTAGTAGAGAAAGCTTCCAGCTTAGGATCTAGAAAAGCAGTTTCAACCCTGACTTCATAGTGGACAGTTAGCTCCTGAAACTCCAGTATCATCTTCCCAACCAGGGAGCTAATGGTGTTTGCTTTTCAGGATTTGAGAGAATGAAGCTCAGTGTAACTGAGGCAAATGGAGATAAAGACATAGGTCTAGGTAGGTGAGTACAGCGGCCTGATGTGGATCAATGTCACTAGGCGCTGGAGATCTGTTATCAGAGGTGTCTGTTATTCTAGAACATCTTTAATGCTGCAAGAGAAGGCAGAGGCAGAGACAAATAGAAAAGGAGAGGCAGATGGAGAGGGAGAAAAGTAAAGTCAGAGTAGACAGAAGGAAAACCAGAAAGAGAGTTGGGTTCAGGGAGATGGGCAGAACCATGTGTAGACAGTGCTGGAGGGAGGGACGGGCAGCTGCACACAGGGCCCTTGATGGATTTCAAGATAATCGATCATTATCTTGAAAAGGCCGCAGGCGTGTACACAGGAAGCGCTTTCCCAGAATGCTCACTGCACAAGAATTACAGACAATAAGATTTTTAAATGCTCTAACTGATCAATGACAAAAGAAAGGAGAACACAACATTTTTTTAGTGTTTCCAATATGTTAACTACTGAGCCTAAAAGTACACTGCTCATTCAGTTCCCATCAGGACTCTGGACAAGGTGCCAATGTTACCTGGTGTCCCAGGCCAGGCACCCCTGCCTGCTGGGGGCCACTGGGCTGACGCTGCACATGCGCAGTGGTAGGAAGGTGGGTCTCCTTAGAAACTTCCAGCATGTGAAGCCTTGCTCCTGCTGTTTGCTAGCCCCAGAAACCAGGCTATGCATCCCTGCTGTGAGCTGTTGAGGCATCAGCAAATGAGGGGCCACAATGCTGCCTGCCTGGTAGCGCTGCTGAGGGAGTTAAGTCTGTTCCCATAGTCCCAGTCCTCAGCACAGCGGGGCATGTGGTGGCCTCCCAGTGCTGGACTCAGGGGTCCATAATGGGGTCCATCTTTCCAGAGGGTACTTTGGCAAACATTAGCAACAAGCAAGCTGTTTATGGCTGTGTACCGAAAGTCCCTTCAGTAGGAGTTTATCCTACTGAGATAATAGGGTAAAAGCTCCCCAACATGTTTAGTAGGGTCTTATCCAAGAACTGAAACCATAGAAAAAAACAGACAGGAAGGGCCATCAGCAGGATTCTAAACAAATCGGCCATCCTGTAGTGTTTTGAACACTATCCAATAAGGACAGATAAAAGACGTGACTTTCTATGAGCCAATGTGGGTGGGTGGATGTGACAGAGTGATAGTTATAGAGCAGGAGTTAACTAGGGGTAGTTGTGTGTGCTGACCTGACCTACCCAAAAGCAGATTGGAAGGAGACAGAGCCAATAGTTACTGGTACCTTTTATTCCAGAAGGGAGGCACTGTTGGAATTTTTCATAATGATCATATATATTCTTAATTTCAATAAATTTCTACTAGAAATAATGTGGCAGCCTGTTGAAAGCAAGTTAAGAAAAATTCTGCTTTTCCTTCATTGACTGTGTAACCTGCTGAGAGGTGGCCTGGTTACCCAGGCTGCGTCTGGGGGCCCCCAGCAGGACCCAGTGAGGGGCAAACATCCCCCCCATCCCAGATCACCCCATGCAATCTGGGCTCACAGATCAGAGCAGCTGACCAGGACCTGTGCCTGTTATTGCTCACAAACAGCAGCAAGAGGGTTTCAAAACCCTCCATCTCCCCCGGGGTGGACGTGTGGTTCCTCTGTCCCTCCATCCTGTGGGGACACGTGGGTCTCCACTCATGGGATGCTACCATGTCACAGGCCAGCACAGGAGGGGCTGTATCTGTTCTCTTGTGTATGCGGTAACACTAGCTACTGCCAGAATTCCCCAATTTTGCCAGTTGGAGAAGTGCGAAAGAGTATCCCAAAGTTTTTAGGTTGCATGTTCCTAATTATTACTGAGAAGAATCATTTCCCTGCATTTATCAGACAACCAATTACCTTTTTTCGTACACTTCCTATTATATATCTTTCTTCCAGGTTTTGTGTTGTTATTGGTCTTTTATATATTTTTATCTGGATGTTACTTGTTTCCTATGTTGCAAGTATCTGCTCTCAGGATGGGGCTTATCTTTCATCTTTGTGGCATCCTGCGCTGCCCGGAACTCTCGAAATGTAACAGAATCAAATGCATCAGTCTTCCTTTTGTGAGTTGGGTTCTGCTATCTTGCCTAAGAAACATTTTAAAAATTACTTAAAAGTGGTTGCATTCTTTGTGATCAGGACTTTGGCTTACAGTGAAACCTTGGTCTGTGAGCATTATTTGTTCCAGAAACATACTTGTACCCAAAGCACATGTATATCAAAGCAAATTCTCTATAAGAAATAATGGAAACTTTTTAAATGATTCATTCCACAACTCCAAAATATTCATATAAAATGATTACAATACTGTAATATAATAACAATACAAAATAATAAAGAAAATACAATATATATAAAGAAAAATGAACAAATTCACCTTCATTTGCCTTTGAAAACCTTCATGGTTATTGTGAGGGAGACAAGAGAGAGGAGGGCTACTGTGTAGAACAAATTTCACTAACACTGATGGAATCATTCATTGCTATCTATTGGCTCAATGGAATCTTTTTCTTTTCATGCACCTTTAACAAGGAATCTATCGAGTGTCACTTGCTTTTGCCTCTTTTTGAAGATTTTGCAGAAATGTGGCACTCCATTGTGGTTAAACAGATTGATTTCTCCCACCGCTACAGTCTTATTCAGGTGCTGCTTTTCTATAAAATTTTGCACTTGTTTCCCACATTTTACAAATCTCCTCAATCTCATTTGAAGTGAAGGATTCCTCTCTGCCTTTTTCTCCTCCTCCTTCCCCTCTGCAGATGAGATCTCCATAACCTCTTGCTGTTGGGAGATGATCACCCACAATCACAAAGGAGGTGTGGGGGAACCATTAGCTCAGTTGTGGTCATGTGACATTTGTATCATGCACTACTTGTGTTGCAAGACATCACTTGTTTATCAAGTGAAATTTTATTAGGAATGTTTGCTCGTCTTGTGGAACACTTGAGGAATAAGCTACTAGCAATCCAAGGTTTTACTGTATTTGAAATGCATTCTTGTGTCTGACTTAAAGAAAATATCTAATTACATCTTTCCTACATAATACATTAATTTTCAAAATATCATTTGCTTAACTACCTTTTGTTTCTCCTATGTTGTGGTCAGCAAACATTCAAACCACAGTGAGCTTCTGCTCAGGGCTGCTTTGTAACTGTCTGCACCTAAGTCAAGTCCTACAGTTTCATGCTGGGGTCGAGAGCCTTGGTCAGCTGTACTTGGAAGTGTTGTTCTGTCTGCAGACTTCAGAGCATTTTGGCTCTGACTTCGGCTTCCCCCAGACCTCTTTCCTCTGAAGCATGGTCCCTGCTTGCTCCTCGCAAACCACCCTTCCTATAGTCACGCCCATTGTGCCTGATAAGCAAACTGAGGCACATAGTGGTCATGCAGTATAGATTCACACGGAGGTATCTGATGCCCAAAGCTGTGGTTTCAGTTCTTACACCAAACTACCTGTCAGTGGAGAATGGAAAGGGTGCCAATGTGAAAACACTAATAGGACTTTTAAACTGTGCTTTTAAATTTTTATTTATGTATTTATTTATTCATTGATGGAGTTTTCTGGGAGACAAAGTCTTGCTATGTAGTTCAGGCTGATTTTGAACCCAGTATGTAGCCTGGGCTGGTCTTGAACATAGTTCAGTCCTTCTGCCTCTGCTTCCCTAGTTCTAGGATTACAGGTGTGCATTACCACACCTGGGTGAACTGCTCCTCTTTAAAATTTTTTTAACTTTAAACTGAAAGAAAAGTTGCAATAAAAGCAGCACGAAGGACACTTGTATGACTTCACTATTTTTACACACACATTTCTTTCCCTGCACCATTTGAGGAAATATTTAACTACTAAATATACTGTGTGTATTTCTTGCGAATAGAGATAGTCTCAGCAAGGTGGATGGAGCCAGCACCGAAAGATAAACCTGCTGTTTTCTCACCAACTTGTGGAAGCTAAAGACATCAACCTCCTAGTAGAAGAGAGCAGCACAGTGGTCACTGGAGACAAAGAAGGGAGAGGGAGGAAAGAGCAGAGAGGAGTTAGCTAAAAAGAGCCCAAGTGCATCCAGAAAAGGAAACGCATCTGGCCTTGTATGCGCAGTGGGTCACTATAGTCAACAACTTATGATATACTGCAAAAGAGCTACAAGAATTCCCAGTTTCCCAACAGAGAGAAATAATAAACATTTGAGGAGGTGGAATTGCGAATTACTCTGAGTTGATCACTACACATTGTACACATATTCAAGACCCTATAAACACCTGCAAACGGTACATGTCAAAAATAAAGAATAGAGGCACTCTCTTACATGAGCGTAGGGCAGTCATCAGTGTTAGGAGAGTTCACCCTGAAGAAATACTTTCACAGAATCACTGATCATAGTCCAGTTTTTCCAGGGATCTAGAACAGGCCCATCCGGGACAGGGGGACATGGGGGAGCTGTGTCGCTTCCTCCTTCTGGGGTGGGGAGGGGCTCCACAGCTTAGCTTTGGCTTTCATGACTGTGGCATATCTGAAGCACACACAACAGTCCTCACTGGGTGTTGGCCCGATACCCCCTAGTCTTTGCGCTCAACTTTGTCTATACCAGGTAACCACGCCCCCAGGTGACAGCTGAAGGTCCTTCTGCACATTTCCAGGTGGGGGGCACACAAGGTATGTGAGGAA